ATGCTCGCTTGTATCTACTCATCAAATCACACACAACAACATGTTTTATAACACCAAGTTACTGGTACGTTTACATATTATCAATGTGCAACCGACTTGTAGAATACAACTCACACATATCAATTTTAAGAATATAAGATATTATCGTCTCACCAATCACTCGTGATAAAATCCATGAAACGATCCAAGTGAGCGTGGGTTTAATCCAATACTCTAATCTTATAGCATCACTCCTGAACTTTGCAGCAAACTTGTGCTATGTCTAAACACTTTAGACAATCTACAGACGGATTTATGACAGTCTTCTTTCATACCTACTTCCAAAGTATGAGCGACTGTGGAGGATTTGAATAATCTTATTACTCGGGAAGTCAAAACATGCAAAGTGAAACACAAGAATAATACTAATCGTATATGGCCCCAAACCTTTGAGTATAAATAAAACATTTTATTTAATCACCATATTGATTACTCATTATTTATTGTTTTGGGTAATCAACTTTTTACTTGAATTATAACAACAATTGTCCCATGCATCAAGCATGCACACTATGTTTACCTATGATCCTTACTTTGTGAAACAGTGGCGGAACCAGAAAATTTTGCAAGGGGTAGCACAAAAAATCCCGATAAAAGATAGTAAGATATTTTTTTAATTATGGTTTCATTAGAAATAACAAACTAGCGCAAAAGTCTTACATAATTACATTTTTAAAGTTGTCCTCTACGATTACCCATTTTCCGAAAGCGCTCTATCACTCGTTCGATCTTAACATCCATAAGTGCTTCTTTTTCTACACTACAAATTAAAGCATCATTCAAAAAATCATCATCCATTTTGTTACGTAAGTCGGTCTTCAAAAGCTTCATTGCGGAAAAACATCTTTCAAAGGTTGCGGTTGCGACAGAAAAAATCAAAGTCAACTTTAATAACCGATAAACTAAAGGAAAAGAAAGATGTTTCCCGGTTTCCACCATCAAACGAGAAAGGTCCGCAATTCCCTCCAAATTAGAAAATCTCTCATCATCAATCAAAGAGTGATAATAGGTTTCAAGTTGACCATCAAGATATACCCTTTCCGAATCATTAAAATCAGTTTTGTGGAACTCGCTTAACTTCACCAACTTTGATTTGTCAAACATAGAAAAAGCATTACAAAGACTCAAAGCCGCCATGTATTCAAGCAAATCGGTGCTAACTTCACTAAAACGGTTCCCAAATTCTTGAATTTGCATATCCAAAACCGTGTTGAAAATATCAACTTCAAAGTGATGTTGATTAGTAACCTTGGTCCTACGGTTTCTTGGAGTAACATAAAATTCAGACATTTCCACAATTTTAATTTTACGTTTATGACAAAAGGAAAATACCTTCTCCAACATTGAAGGAAACCTATTATTTCTAAAAGCTTTGAATGTTTTCATCATCACTTTTACCAAAGAAACCGCTTCAAAAATATTCTGATCTGTTCTTTGAAGATGTTTTGACAAGGTATTCGTGAGACCAAAAATCTCCAACATCAAGTGTACATAAAACACAAAATTAACTTTCTTGAAATACGACAAAATACCGTATGCTTGATTTTGGTTATTTACACTAGACCCCTCATCTTCAACATATTTAAGAACCTTGATAACCTCCGGAAACAAATTCTTCAAACTTATTATTGTTTTATAATGTGAGCTCCATTTTGTATCCCCAACTCGAACAAGAGAAGTCTCCTGATTTAATCCTCTTCCGGTCTCAATTTCACCATTACCAATTTCTTTTTGAACCCTTTTCCTTGTAGCTATCTCGTATTATATCTTTTCTTTTACAAGAAGCACACACCACATTAACCACCAAAGCTAATTGCTCAAAGAAATCATCAGCACCATCGTGGTTTTTTGCTACAACCACAACCATTAATTGAAGTTGGTGTGCAAAACAATGTATATAATATGCCGAAGGATTATCTTTCAATATCAATGCTTTCAAACCATTAAATGCACCCCGCATATTACTTGCTCCATCGTATCCTTGCGCTCTTACCTATATATATATATATATATATATATATATATATATATATATATATATATATATAAAAGAAATAAAATAGATAAAGATTAAAATACATAAAAAAAAAAGAATTCATAATTTCTTACCTGAGATATACTCAAGTTATTGTTGGTAAATACCGAATCAATGACTTCTTTTAGAGTTAAAAAACTTGTATCATTCATGTGAACAATGCCAACAAATCTTTCTTTCACTAATCCAAGGCTATTAACATATCGCAAAACCATAGTCATTTGTTCCATTTTGGATACATCACTAGACTCGTCTACTTATATAACACATCATTACCAATTTCTTCACAAATGGCCTTTATTATCTCTTTGGAAAAGCATTGAACAATCTCTTTTTAAATCTTTGGAGACGTCAATTTTTCATTTTTTGGAGCATTTTCTAAAGTAACCTTATAAACACTTTCATTATGGTCCCGAAGGAATGATAATTCTTCAATGAAAAGGCCTTTAGAAATTGACCCATCCGACTCGTCATGACCACGAAATGGTAACACATTCTTCAATAAAAATCTACAAGTATCAATTGTAGCACGTAATCGAATTTGATAGTTACTTGCTTCAACTTCAATTTTCTTATGAAAAGCTTCACTAATAATTTGATTTTTCTTTACTAGATTTTCACATTTTTGTTTTGCTTTGTTGTGATGACTATCAACTTTACCTTCATGATCTTTCAATGAATTCTTTTTACTCCAAGTGTTAAAGCCTCCCGTCACAAATACATCTCTCCCCCCTTGTTTCCCCATAATATCTCCAAACAAGTAACAACATAAACAATAAGTTTTGTTCTTTTTTGTGCTATACTCTAACCAATTAAATTCATCAAATCATTCCCTTACAAAACGTCTGTTCTTACCACCAACTTTTATTGATGAAAAATCATAGTCTTTTGGTTGAGAAGGTCCTTTAATCCAATATTCTCTCCTTATTTCATCCCTTTGATTTGGATGATATGATGTCATTCTTGGTCTATTCGTCGGGTCCGAAAGAAGATTATTAGTATCAAAACTAGGTGGAATATGTTGTAGTTGAGGTTGAGGATGAGGTCTTTTTCCTCCACCACTTTCATTACTACTACCAATATCCAATGTCCTTTTAAAAAAAATTCCAATTAAACCCTACAAATACAATTAAATATTTAAACATAATACAAGTGAGCAACTAGTTGGCTAATTAGGTTTTCAATTTAAGCAAATAAATTAAACTAAATCATTAAACATTAAATCATAAAACATTAAAGATGGAAAATTAAATATTACTGGTTCATATTCCGTAAGTAAGCCAATAGCGAAATGGGTGAATAAGCTTTGCCAAGAAAAATTATGGTGAAGTAGGAGGCAACGGCAGTAAAAGGACGATCACATGAACAACAAAAATATATCAATTTTTTTTCCGTAGTATCCTTCGTAATTTAGGTGCTCACAAAACAAAAAGACATATTTTTTAATAAATGGGCTAAGTTATTCAAATTAATGGCCTATGGCCTATAGGCTTCTATTTTAAATGTAATATGACCGTTGGTAACTTTGTAATTATATATATAAAATACTATTTCTATGGAAAAATTGAGGGGTAGCAACCAACTAATTACTTCCGTCCATGTTTGTGAAATAGATCAAATGAACACATTTCCAATCATTTCATAATTCTCAATCCTAATCATTAGCGTAACAATATAAAATTCTGGCCACTACTAGAATATGTTAAATTCTAACATTTTATGCAACGGTTCTTTTCGCAATGTCTTTTCGTAATTGTTTATTGATTGTATTTGTTAGCTTATCGATGTTCCTCACATGAATGCTAACACCTATTGTGGTTCACATTTTAATGTGAAACTGATGTTTACTGTTTCTATTTATCAAATTACAGAACTAATATTAGTTCTGTTGGTTACTCAAAGGATTTATCTTACCAATGATGGAACCTTTTTATTTCATACATTCATTATGTCAACTTATTTGATTTAGATATATATATTTTATTTATTCGTAAGAGGATACTTGATGATGAACTCGAAAAAGTCAAAAGATTTTCATGTAGGTACACTTTTACTATATATGTCGAGAAAGGTTAAAGATATTTGGACGTGCTGTAAATATAAATGATCTTCAGTTGAGTTCAGGGTGGTTTATGTGGAGATAGAGGTTGATCAAGGTTTTGCAGGAAATGATTGTTAGGATGCAACTAACCTTTACGCTAAGCATCTCTATGATTCAAAGTAAATTTGATGTGAATCTGGTAACATAAGTCATTGTCTTTTATAATAATTATGCAGTATAAACTGGTAGCGAGCTGTTATATTTTGCATTTAGTTGTACATTTAATGATGGTAGGACGATGCTTCTTTTAATTTATTTATTATTGTATGTAGTTTTTGAGATTCACTTTGTAAAACTGGATGTGGTATTTATTTGTATAAGATTATTCTGGATTTTAAATTTAAATGTTTTTCCTTTTATGAAACTGTTTCAAAGTCAGCGGCTGTTATCTCCCCTAGCGTGCATGTGGTCATACTATTTATCGTTGTCGGTTGTTTCGGTTCGCTATGGTTAACTACATTCTGTAAACCATGTCACTTTTCTGCTGGTTTATTTTATTTTTAATTTAATCTCTGGCGTTCTAAAAAAAGTAACTTTATACAAATAATAAACTAAAAGTAATATGCTCAAAGAGTCAAATGAAAACGGTCGTGCATGAAGACGTGTGCTATGGGGAATTAATGATTAGGGTCAGAGTACTTATGCTATGGGGAATCAATTATGAGGATCATAATTGATAATGATGAATGGTATTAATAGGGTGTGACAATAAATCTCCCATTCGATACCCTCCTCTCTCCTTTATGAGTATATATATATATATATAATCTTGGGAAGCAATTAACAATGTTGTATAATTATATATCCGTTGAAAAGGAAATTTGAATGGAAGAGGTGGGGATGAGCTTAGTATCATTGTTACGAGCAGCATGGATCCTTATTACTTTGCCGATTGTTGTAGGCCTTGTCCCATTCCCTGGGCTTGCTTGGCTTCACACGATTCTCACGCTTAGCAACAGAGGCAAGATTTTGCAATCCAACTCTGTGAGTAATTAATCGATGTTTTTGTGTTTATAGTAATTGGTATGAAAATGAATTCCCCTTTTTTGATTTTGCGTACATTAATTTCAGAAACTAACTGTGCCTCAAAGATTCTTCTCTCACTTTTATGCGATGGCCATTTTATGGACGACACTCTTGCTTGTTGCAATGTGGTCTTATGCAACAACCAGCCACGTGGCTGGAGGAGAATCCCATGCAAACATATCTGTGTTTCTCCTTGTGCTAATGGAACTCCATCTTTTGCGACGTTTCTATGAGACAATATATGTTTTCAAATACAGTCCCTCAGCTCGAATGCACATCTCTGGTTATCTTTTGAGTCTATTGTAAGTTTTTCATATCTGCGACTATCTTAATTATTCCCGATTCTCAAGATCCTTTTTGCTGATATATTCAAGTGACCTTTTTTTTTTTTTTTTTTTTTTTTTTTAATAAATCAGATACTATGCACTGGCTCCACTCTCCCTATGCTGTAATTTTGTACCTCAAGTCTTTGACTCTGTCAACGGAAGAGTTGGCATGTCAAGGCCTGGATCTGATAAAATATGGATGTTTGTGACTCCTTTCTCGAGGCTTCCATGGTATGCATGGATAGGTGCGGTTATTTTCTTATGGGGTTGGGTACATCAGCTTTGCTGTCATCGAATCCTTGTAAGCTTTTTCCTATTTATATTTGATGAAAAGTTGTATACTTTCTTCTTCTTGCTGTTTTAACCTTATGATAATTAGGGTTCCTTGCGAGACAAAACCAAAAACCCGGAGGAGTATGTTATTCCGTATGGCGATTGGTTTGAATACGTGTCATCTCCACACTACACAGCTGAAATTGTAAGTCTAAATCTCATGTGTGTTCTGTAGTCTGATCAGTTTTTCAACATAAAAAAGGAGCTTTAAAAACACTATATATATATATACGTAACCAATTGATGTTGATGATGAAAGTGATTTATGGTGGTCTTGTGATAGCTAGTGGTGGTGTGGATCTCTCATTGTGGTTGCTTTTTGTATTTGTGGTATGTTTTTATTTTATCAACAGGAAGTTCAAAATGTTTCACGGGATCTGTTATTTTGCAGGTGGCAAATCTGGTTTATACAGCAAAGGAAACACAAGGATGGTATAAGCGTAAATTTGAGGATTACCCTCGTAATCGATGTATAATATTCCCCTTTATCTATTAGTGATCTGTGCATTGAAGGAAGCTTGTGTAAAGCTGTTCGATTGGATCATTACTTTGTTAAAGGAAAGCTTTCGCTCTAGCCTCTTACTTCACCCATTTACCAGCTAGTGTAATAAATATCTGGTGGGGTTGACTGATAAATAAATTCTGTTTAATATTTACTCAAATAAACATGTAGAGTTATGCATATTTTCTATCTTTTGTTTTGTATCTGGACACTACTATTTAGAAATATAGTGGGACAGAAATTACTTAAATAACAACATACTTTGACATGAAAACAGTAAACGTGCAATAATTTAATAAAATGAAATTAAAATATAATGATATAAGTAAATTGCCAAATTTTGCAAAGAAGGCTAATTTGATAATAATTTAGAACATGAAATCAAATAATATTGGACCAATAATAAGCAATAAATGGAACATCATTGCTATTACATTTCATGGGATACAGGAGGGGTGAGACAATGAGAAAATAAACATGTGGAGTTCAGTCAAATTATTTGGGACCAAAACCGCGAAGCTGATAATGTTGCAAGCACAAGGGTCATTTACCAATTTTATAGTGGTTGTAGAGTTAATGACCAAAAAGAGTGGACACTAGTACTCACTAGCTATTTTTATATGCCCGGGTTGGGAAAAAGTAATGGTCATTGTATATTTGAATTAAACATTACAGAAAAATAATAATGTAATTGTCACTAAAAATTAAAAAAAAAAAATTTAAAAGTTAAAAACTAGACATCTATTTTACCACCAAACGAACTTTCCAACACTTATATTTTATTGTTACTTATATTTATATTAATAGTATGTTCCTTAATGAACAATTTTCTATTCCTATTGGTTGATTGTTTTTTCTTTTTTGTTTTTTTACTCTGTCCGTCTTGGACACTTTTCAATTTCATATGATTTATTTTTTGGCCGTTCAATGGGTTTCATCGAGTTCTACTACACCTACAATGCGTCTTCCACCGCCTTTCTTTTCCAATGATGCTTACACAATTGCTTCCACTGTCTTCTCTCGATCTACTTGCTTCCACTGTCTTCTCTCGTTCTACTATCATAAAAATCGGCGGGAAAAGTCCATTATCTCCCCCAAAAGAAGATATCCATATCCCGCCTGATCATATACCCGATTCATCAACGGTAACACCATCGAAGGAGATAATAACGATGGATGAGGAGGCATATCTTGGAAACGGATGGTGGAACGGGAGGATGAAGCGATTGCGAAAGATCTTTTTGTCACCTAAGGTTTGGTTTCGAAAATTTGTTATATAAGTTTCTAAACTCATGATTTAACCTAAAGTATGCGTTTTTTTCTTTATTTATCATCATCTAAAGGTTGTTATGGATTTTATGATGAGGTTTTTCCAACATAATGAGAGAACCATGCTTAGTATTATGTTATAACTGCTCATGAACTTTCATGTTGATTTCTAAAACTGACTTTTGGATATTGTACAGGCTTTGTTTGTGTATATTCTGGAGTCCTCATTTTTTTTTTGATTTGGCACGTTTTCCTTTTAAAAATGTGGCAAGGGGAACAATCTGAAACCCATATGTTTGGCATTTAAGAATCTTTACCGATGGGGTAAATGTGGATTTATAGGGTGCATTACTAGATATCTAAGAAGCATATCTACAAGCTTGACATGTGGATGCTCGATCGTTGCTTTGTATGACCTCCCTCTCCTGGTATATGTTTTTATTATTTTTATTTTCTATTTTTTTTTTTTGGAAAGGGATCTTCCCTAATGAGGGTTTCCGGGCCAGCTTTCGCGCACCGACTAATCCCCCGCTGCAAACATAAAGCTTTGCTTCATGCCCTGGAGTCACTGCAGACGAACCTCCATGGCCACAAGGGCTGAGTGGTGCCAGGATTTGAACATGGGTCAATAAGATTTCTATTTTTCTATTTACAAATGATACATGAGGTTCTAATATATGGTGAAGTATCACTACTAGAAACATGGGTTTTAGAGACGGAAGTATCCGTCGCTATTCCGTCACTAAATGTTGTTTGCAATGGATCAGCGACGGACTCGCTCCATAGGTAATTAAGAAGTGGCTAATTTCTCAGCGAGGGTTTTAGCGACGGAGAGGTTTTTCCTTGCGACAAATTTAGCGACAGAATATCCGTCACTAAATGTCACTCAACACATTTACTCAGAGCATTAGCGACAAAATTTGATAAAGTCATTCCGTCGCTTTTCTGTCACAAAATTTCAGTGATCAGTTTTTTTCCGTAGCAAATCCCTTGCAAAATTCATATATTGATTTCTCTTTTTTTTCGTCACTAATCTGTCGCAAACTTTAGACATGGTTTTTTTCCATAGCTAATCCCTTGCAAAATTTATACATTAATTTTTTTTTGTTCCGCCGCTGATCCGTCGCAAACTTTAGACATGATATTTTTTCAAAATTGATGCATTAAAATACTTTTTTTATTCTCACCAATCCGATGCGAACTTGTAATATCATTTTTTTTATTATCATTCTAAAAGAAAAAAAATACTACAATCATCAAATTTTTATACTAAAAAACATCAAATAACAATGTAACCAAACATTACAATACCAAAACTATCAAAGTTTACCAAAGTATCATTTAAAAAACATCCAAAACCAAAACTATCCATATAACATCAAACTCCCAAAGGTTTAACTTCAAAATAACATTTTAACACCAAGAAATCCAAAGTATGCATCGGGAAATGAGTTTTCACAAAACATAATTTCAAAATAACATTTTAGATGCTCTCTTCATTTCATGTCCATCCAATCATCTTCGGTTCACATTCCTATAAAACATTATTCAAAACAATCAAAAGTATCAAATACAAAAGGTTAACAAGTCATTCAAAAACATCAAATACTAATGGTTAACATCATATTACCTCTAATTTTCAATTTCTCATCATATTTTGCAAGGCTGCATACATCTTCTCCATTGCTTCATATTTTGCATCAATTTGTTGTTGTTTGACATCTATTGCTTCATATTTTTCTTCAGCAAACAATTCAGGTTAACCTTTTTTAACCTTTCTTTTTCTTACCATTTTCTCTTCAAGATTTACTTTTCGGAAATTTCTTGTCCATTCAGACAATTTTACCCTCATGAATCATATTTGAGGTGACTTATCACTTTTTACAGCAAGAAGATCCGTTTCTCACTTACTGTTCTTCTCATGGGAGTTGGTATTGCGATTGTAACTAACCTACAACTCAACATGTTGGGCAGTGTTTTATCCCTGCTAGTAGTCCTTACAACTGGTGTTCCTGAATCCTTAAATTCTCATAAATTGGATGACAAACTATGATGAATCAAGCCCTAAATCAAGTTCTAATTCTAACTTTCAGGGTTATTCATGTATATAATGCTGAGAGATAAGAGGGACATCGATTGAAAAAGAAAAAATGAGAAATTAAACCCTAACAAAGTATATTGTGCAATTGAACTAAAACTAAACCTAATACGGATGAGATTTACCTGAATCCGAAAGTTAACAAAGAATACTTTCAGCTTAAAAATGCGGAGGTTGTCGGAATCGGGTGAGTAGTGCCGTCATCGTCATCTGTTCAAACAGAGATTGTGAGATGGAAGTGGGTTAACAGATTGAAGGGAACTTCTATGCCGTCATCTGTTCAAAATTCATGTCCAGAGTCCAGAGTGTTTTAAAAGAACATTCAAAGATGGAAGTGGGTGAGGAGTGTTGGAGGGAAGGAAACGCGTACCAGAAATTCCAATGCATTTCGTGAAGATGGAACTGGGTTGTGCCAATTTCAGCTAGAGATTGGTGATAGACAAAACAAAACGCGTGTACCCACAGTCTAGTTTCCGTCGATGTTCTCTTGCTAAACGTGTACCAGCTGGTGCAATTTTTTTATCCGTCATTGAACCCTAGCTAAGGCCCTTCATTTTTCGACTGATTAGCGAGGGATAGTGGTGCATTGATAAATACTTGCGAGATCCATAGCTGATCCCTCGGTAAATCCTCACTAATATTCCACATGTTAAACAAATAAAATAACTATCAAAAACATGGTAGATCCGTCGCAATTCCCTAGCTATAAGTCTAAATTTTGCTAGAGAACAAATCCGTAGCAAAATCCATAGCTGAAACTCAAGTTTCTAGTAGTGTATGAATCTTTTGAAATGTTTGTATGCTATCTGATTTATTTATTTATTTATTAATTTTTGTGTTTCTGCTTCAAAGGCTGACTGCAAGCTACACCATCTTCATGGGTCTTGGGAAATTCGCAAACGATGCAGTATTATGCCCCGTTTTTGTTGTTCAATGTTTGTTCATTCTTTGTATTTTCCTTTTGTGTGCTTTATTCAACATTATACTCCTGCAACTGTTTGATTTTCTTTTGAGTTTTGGTTTCTCCACTTTGATTTAGTTGTGATTTACTATTGTGATCGTATAGATTTTACTTTTTTTTTTATGGTCCTTCTTTGATATTTGCTTCCCTTTAAAGACCGTGGTTTCTGTTTTTAGCTTTACAAGCCACACATGACTTCTTTGGTAGATGATGTTGGCACAGGCCCTTGAAAACACACACACACAACACACACTCTCACGTAGTTACAACTAATAGAATATGCAGAAGCTTCACTATTCTGATGGTATAAAGGTGAAAATACAAAAGGAAAATAACACCTATTTATAAATAAAAAAACAAACATGCACATGCTAATCTCGTATCTCCTATAAACTTGGTCAACTTGACCATTTTTTGTTGTGCACCTTCTAGAACATGGGTATAATCCCTTTATTTCAGCATGACTCAATCAAACACTCCTGGATCATGAACTAGATCCGAACCATGACCCGTTGAACCAACCGATTAACCCAACAATCACCCCCTTAATCGGTTGTTCACACAATTTGTTCACAACAGCCTTTAATCACCCTCCTTTCATCTCGATTCAAGACCTTTCCCGGACACCCGACTTTCACCTCTGCCACATCCAAAGTCTTCACCCAATCCCAACTTTTCCCGGACACCCGACCTTCATCTCGGTCACGTCCAAAGTCCTCAATACAATCCTGACTTTTCCCAGACA